ACATGGGGCCCAGAAATACGGGAGGGCTAATGAGTTACTTTTCAACTGACTTATATATATGGTATTAGGTTGCCTGGTTTACTTTATAATTAGGGTTTGGTATTAAAAAAAACGATGTAATGCTTAAGCTAGGAGCTACTAATTATCATTTGTCTATTTTTAAAAAAATTTATAAAAGAGTTGAGTTAGTTGCATTTTAAAGCCAAAAGATAAACGCGAATACTTCAAACTTAATTTAAAAAAATAGTTTTTCTTAATTAAATTATTAATATTAAGTATTAAAAACCTTTTACTGCGAAGGAACACAGGCAACTTTTAAAAAAAGGAAGTTAATTAGCTCCCTCTCTTCTATATACGTGTCAATCGCGTGCTTAAACGTATATAGTATTTACACTATTTTGGAAAAACTAATTTTTTAGTGATTTTATTTTTATTAGTGTTATTACCTATACAATATTCATTTATTTATTTAATTTCATTTATTTTTCAATAAACTCGTTACTTGATTGTTAGTTTATACATAGTACTAATACAAAGGTACCAATAATATGCATCGAAGCTCAGCAGTACGCTATGACGAGCCGCGACACAAGGAAGATAGTATGCTATTGTTAACTTTAGAAAATCAATAGTACTATATAACATGTCTAATAACGAAGCCAAACATGATTACTTTGTAATAAATGAATATACTAACCCTCACTCGTTACAGAGTTATGGATCTAGTGGCATTCGTATTTGGTACTAACCGTAAACTAGAGTAGTGTGCCTTTCAACTTAGCAGCTTTTGTCAATAATTTAATAATGAAGCGATCCAACAAGTAAATAGTCGATTCTATTTGTGTTTTATTGTTAGATTTTACTAGAAGCCATCATGTTATAAGTTAGTCATTATGTTATTTTAATTGTTTTAATTTTATTGTATGAATTATTTATTAGATTTGATTATAATATATTGTAGAATTTCTTTCATTATATTTTAAATTTTATAATATTTTATTATTAATTTATATTGTATTATGTTATATTGTGTTATATTTTTTATTTTATTCATTATTTTATTAGATTAATTTAATCAGATTTAGTTTATTTTATTTTTGTGATCTGTATAAATTTATTTTGTTTAGTTATATTTCATTTATTAGATTTATTTTTAGTATATTTATATCTTATATTTATTTCATTTTATTCTGTTTTATTTAATTAATAAAAGTACATAATAGTAAGTAGCACGTGTGTGTAATTATACATAACTTTTAGATCGGGAAGGGCTTGTAAAAGTTTGTAACCAGTTGACAGCAAGTTGATTTACATCTTTATAATTTTTATACAAGGTCAATAATAATGCTACTTTTTTTTAAGTAAACTAGAATAAATTAATTTTATTGAACTCTAGTTTGTTTTAATTCATTAATTTTCTTTAAGAAAGTTAAGTTAGTTTTCTTCCTTGATAACAAGGTTCTTAAGGATAAATTTGATGCAAAAATAAATCTGTTAGAGGTAACTATCCATATGTATGTATACAAATATAAAGCTAAATAATTTATAACCTCAATGAACTTGAATCAAGCTAGAGATCATTGTCCAGATTTATCAACCAATCGTTAATGCTAAAGCACTAGAGTACTAAAAGTTAAATAACAGAGTCTAGATGTTAACTATGGTTAAACCAAGATAACTTCCTAGTTGCAAAGATGATAACTAGCTTCTACCTCTTCTATTGTAGTTGTGAAGCAGGTTCTTTCACCTTGCTGTCTCAACCCTAACACAGGGACTAAAAGTAAACATAGAAATTAAAATAATGCTTACTTATGTATAATTATTGTTTTAAACTAAGAGCTTCGGTGAACTAGCTTAGAACGATAGCTAAAGCTTCACTTAGAGACCTTAGCTACAAAGTAAATTAGCTAACCAAGGTATAATTCTGCAAGATAGGTATGCTTAAGAATGGAATCGAACCATTGACGTTACTGTCAGTAATGTTTTACCACTAAACTACTTAAGCAATTTCTACTTTGGTGTAACAAAAATAACTACCACTCTAGAAATGATAATTAAATCATTATACCAAAGTAGAAAAAAAAAAAAGTAAAGTTAAAGATGATATCCTCTTTTCTAATTCTAGGGATCCCAGTTTAGGTTACGCCTCTGGGACGAAATTGCTACGCGATTATCGCCTGACGTGCTTTGCATAACATAGTTAGAGTCAGGTCCTCCTAGTGAAACAAAGAGGATATCTTTAACTTTACTTTTTTTTTTTTCTACTTTGGTATAATGATTTAATTATCATTTCTAGAGTGGTAGTTATTTTTGTTACACCAAAGTAGAAATTGCTTAAGTAGTTTAGTGGTAAAACATTACTGACAGTAACGTCAATGGTTCGATTCCATTCTTAAGCATACCTATCTTGCAGAATTATACCTTGGTTAGCTAATTTACTTTGTAGCTAAGGTCTCTAAGTGAAGCTTTAGCTATCGTTCTAAGCTAGTTCACCGAAGCTCTTAGTTTAAAACAATAATTATACATAAGTAAGCATTATTTTAATTTCTATGTTTACTTTTAGTCCCTGTGTTAGGGTTGAGACAGCAAGGTGAAAGAACCTGCTTCACAACTACAATAGAAGAGGTAGAAGCTAGTTATCATCTTTGCAACTAGGAAGTTATCTTGGTTTAACCATAGTTAACATCTAGACTCTGTTATTTAACTTTTAGTACTCTAGTGCTTTAGCATTAACGATTGGTTGATAAATCTGGACAATGATCTCTAGCTTGATTCAAGTTCATTGAGGTTATAAATTATTTAGCTTTATATTTGTATACATACATATGGATAGTTACCTCTAACAGATTTATTTTTGCATCAAATTTATCCTTAAGAACCTTGTTATCAAGGAAGAAAACTAACTTAACTTTCTTAAAGAAAATTAATGAATTAAAACAAACTAGAGTTCAATAAAATTAATTTATTCTAGTTTACTTAAAAAAAAGTAGCATTATTATTGACCTTGTATAAAAATTATAAAGATGTAAATCAACTTGCTGTCAACTGGTTACAAACTTTTACAAGCCCTTCCCGATCTAAAAGTTATGTATAATTACACACACGTGCTACTTACTATTATGTACTTTTATTAATTAAATAAAACAGAATAAAATGAAATAAATATAAGATATAAATATACTAAAAATAAATCTAATAAATGAAATATAACTAAACAAAATAAATTTATACAGATCACAAAAATAAAATAAACTAAATCTGATTAAATTAATCTAATAAAATAATGAATAAAATAAAAAATATAACACAATATAACATAATACAATATAAATTAATAATAAAATATTATAAAATTTAAAATATAATGAAAGAAATTCTACAATATATTATAATCAAATCTAATAAATAATTCATACAATAAAATTAAAACAATTAAAATAACATAATGACTAACTTATAACATGATGGCTTCTAGTAAAATCTAACAATAAAACACAAATAGAATCGACTATTTACTTGTTGGATCGCTTCATTATTAAATTATTGACAAAAGCTGCTAAGTTGAAAGGCACACTACTCTAGTTTACGGTTAGTACCAAATACGAATGCCACTAGATCCATAACTCTGTAACGAGTGAGGGTTAGTATATTCATTTATTACAAAGTAATCATGTTTGGCTTCGTTATTAGACATGTTATATAGTACTATTGATTTTCTAAAGTTAACAATAGCATACTATCTTCCTTGTGTCGCGGCTCGTCATAGCGTACTGCTGAGCTTCGATGCATATTATTGGTACCTTTGTATTAGTACTATGTATAAACTAACAATCAAGTAACGAGTTTATTGAAAAATAAATGAAATTAAATAAATAAATGAATATTGTATAGGTAATAACACTAATAAAAATAAAATCACTAAAAAATTAGTTTTTCCAAAATAGTGTAAATACTATATACGTTTAAGCACGCGATTGACACGTATATAGAAGAGAGGGAGCTAATTAACTTCCTCTTTGTTGCGCACTTTCTCTCGTGCGCTTAGCTACTTATCGGTGCACGAGCTTGTGTTGCATCCTTTCTGGTACTTTAATCACAGAAGGTAAGACCTTTGTTGTTGTATAGTAAACAGGCTGGCAACTGTGTAGGTCGGCTACTTAGCGGGTAGACGAGGCGCGGCTTTTGACTTGTGCCTTTGACTGTTAGCAATACCTTGGCGCTTTCGTGCTAGATTGTACGCTCTGCAGTTTAGTAAGGACTTGCCGGGAACTGCTGTCCCCAGGACCCTGTTAGTAAAAGCGGCCAAAAAGGATTGATTCATCTAATACGCGGTTGATACGTTTGTTATTATCGATGTCTTTCGGTACCTGCGGTAATAGAGAACCTTGACTACGATTGCCATTTAAAGGTGGATTAGTGTTTAGGTGTACATGAGCTAAGGTCTGGTAGTGTCTAGTAACCCTCTACGATGATTGGGTCTGGTAAGCTAAAGCGAAGATAATAGTACCCAAACCTTACTAGATTCAGCACCCATCGATTGTCATGAATATGGTTGCCCTGCTTTATTGAGGCAAGTTGAGGTCTACGCGCTACTTTGGAGAGAAGAAGGCCTATTGCTGCGTGTGGAAACACATGCTCTTAAAAATAATAAAACTACGTATCAAATAGGTTCACTAGACTAGTGTTATCTTCCTAAGATCAGAGAAACTGTTGCTATTGTTTCCAACCTGAATCATACTTACAATAAAAGCAGGTACTAGCCTTGCCGCTAGGAACTTTTTACAACATACTGAGACTGATAACCTATGTAACAAAATAACCTTTCGTTTATCCGCGATGTATACCAGGTTGCCTTCCGGAAACAATCCTCTGTGAAAAGCAATGGAAGTTATGCCTGAATTCTCTAGGTTTACTCATAGCCTTTGGATGTAAGCATATAAGTTTCATACGTACTTGTGCTTGTAGCTTCACTAACTGCGTGCGAAGACCTTTGTTCATAAATGGCGTATGAAATGGGCAACACTTTAGCACTAGCCCTCGTCCAGGGGCCTGCGGTCTAGTTAACTGATCGTTTAACTATTTACTAGATTTTAGTGCTTTTATTATACTTTGATGATCATCGGATTGTCGCTTGTATAGTATGGGCACTTGTTTTAGCCTTGGCTCACCGTGAGCTGAGAGTACTGTTGCTCTTCGGTTCCGATTAGTTCGGCCGCTTTTGGTAGTACTAGTTCCTATATAGTATTGTATTATTATAGGTACTAGTATTATCATTGAATAGTGCTATTTTCTAGTATATATATTAGATATAAGACAGCGAGCCCTTATTTATGGCTTTTCTTAATTCTTCCCAGAGACAAAATGCATGGTTTCCCAGGGATCCAAGTGTAATAGGAAGAAGTCAATCATTCTTACTTTTTTTCGTTCTACTTTGGTAGAACACTTAATTAGCTATCATTTTCTAGAGTGGTAGTTATTTTTGTTTTACCAAATTAGAACTTTTTTAGCAAATTGCTTAAGTAGTTAAGTGGTATAACCTTACTTCTTTACCGTAAAGTCAATGATTCAATTCCATTTAAGCCTAGCTGCCTATGGGGCAAGACCTTGGCTCTATATTGGTCGGCAAGATGTAATGGCAACATTTCTGTTTCTACTCAGGAGAATAATTGCTCAAAACTGGTATATCTAAGTCCTAAATAATTCTACCTTGCGGGGCTAATTACTTTTTAGCTCAGGTTCTAAGACCATGGTTAGCTTAAGTTAATACAATAATCGGCTTAAGTCTCTATACTATTCGACTCAAGTTGATACAATCATTAGCTTTCGCTAATGTCACCGAAGCTCAAAATAATAATTTTTATTAAAACTTAGGTTAATTCATCATTGTGTTATCGATTCCTAGTGGTGGTTCAAGCAGCTAACTAATTAGGTTAACATTAATGAATCTAAAGTCTCAAAACACAATTTAACTAATAAAAGATTTAAAATAACAAATCAAGAAGGACTCAGTATTGAATAAAGAAAAATCCATAGCCAATGGCTTATAGAGAATAATTTACTTCTGAATTAAAGCTAACATCTTTCGACCTCGAAAAGGTTCGACTAACTCTGTAGATAACACCATGTGATAAAGCACTGTGAAGGAAAACATGCAAGAGAACCCTATGGGAGTTAAATAGAGCATGCAACCTAATACTGATTGAATGACTAAATCTAATTTAACTTAGAAATGAACAAAACCCCCCTTCTAATCTAGACTCTGCTATGCTGCTCTGCTACTGTGCTATCTTTTTAGTAATCTAGTGATAATTTACTAACAAAAAGGATATAAATATGAAATATATTTTAATACTTTAACTAAACCTTATTTAACTATCTTAACATTATTTAGTAATTAGTACTTTTTTTCGACCTTTTAGAGGTCAGTTTTATAAATAAGGACTTTAACCTCGTATAAAAGATAAGAGACTTATTCTCTTGTCATATCTTGATGTTGTTGCACGTCCTGTGCCTCTATTTTACAATTTTTATCTGAACTCTTTGCGAGGGACGTGCGGCACCTCCTCAACTTGGCTGCAACTGCGGAAGGTTTAGTCCTTTGTGACTTGATAGTAAATGCATTGGCAACTGCTTAGGTTAGCTACTTACCTTGATTACTTGAGGTAATTAAAAATTTATTTAATCATAAAATTGAAAAATGATATTTAGTATTGTTTACTATAAGAATTAAGAATTTTTAAAATTATAATCCATAAATTTTAAATTTATTTAAATATATCAAAAATAGAATCAAACTAATAAACATAATATAATACGATTTAATTATTTAAAATAAAATTAATTAAATGCTGTCTTTATAACCTGTCTAAAACGAAACATATTGCTTCTACTTATTGAACGTAACATAAAGTTCTAGAGAAGAAAAGGGCATGCCTCAGTGTTATTTAGCTAACTTTGCTAACAAATATTTAGGCTTTCCAGCTCCTTTTTTACGAAAGGTATCCTAATCTTAATGTCTGATCGTCATTTAAACGACTTTAATACAATTGGACAAGCTAACTTCTACTACTAAAATCTATGGCTAAAGTCCTAGTAAATCCTTAAATCTCTTGTTTTCTGCATTCTTTTAACGATTTAGGAAACCATGTTGATTCACATTCTAATTTAGTGCATTTATCGTTCAGCTTAAATAATAAATTAAACCTAGACTTGGTTAAACACTATCTTTAAGTTTACTACTCTGTTAACTGTATCATCTTGTTTATGTTGACTTTATCGAAATATGAGCACTCTTTGATCTTTAAGGGTCATTAAAAGTAATTTTCTCATTTAAATTTTAAAACAAATGATTTTAATGCTTTTATATAGAACAATTAAGCACCTTCATTTTAACGTATAAGAGAATTGTAGCACTTTTTCTCGTATTATTCGTCTCGTCTCATGCTTGCTTTTCGCGCTCGGGGCCCCCCTTTGGAGAAACTTGACTGTGACTGCAGAAGGTAAGTCCTTAGTTGCTGGCCATCTTCATCTCTGACGAACTGCCTACGTCAGCTACTTAGTGGGCGGTAGATAGTCGCAATCAAGTTAAGTGCCTTACACTGTTATTAATATCTTGAGCCTTTTGTCAAGTTTCAATACTCTTTGGCTAACGTAAAGATTAATATGTCGTCTTTAAGGTTATCATCGTACAAGCGCACGAAAAAGGTCGTGCCCATTCTAGACGCGCCTGCTCCGTTCGTTAGTCCTTCGCGTCTACCGGTTGGAAAATCCATGGTAGGCTGTCGAGTGTCTAGTAACCTTCTAGCATTATTGGGTCCTGTGAATTTAAACGAATAATAAGTACTTGAAACTCACTGGATTCCTTGCAAAACAAGCATCCAGAATAGGGTTGCCCTGCTCTAGCTAACCATGTTGAGGTATGTACGCTACTTTGGAGAGACGAAGGTTTGCTGCATATCGAAAGATATACTTTAAAACTGGTAAAAACAGCGTAGCAGATAGGTCTATTGGCAGGTAGCTTCCCTGTGTCAGCATGTACCGTTCATTGACTCCAGCTTATTGAAGCCACAAGTATCGAACTTTGAGCAGTCGTGCATACCTATACGGGACCTATTGGATAAAATTTATGATATTGATCTGGCGGGGTGTATATTAGCGTTGCCATCGTGTGTGTCGATTCTTTGTAATTAGATACAGGGTGAGCTGTGGAAAGCAAATTGTGAGTTTGGTAGCAGGTTGACAGAAGCAGCTAAGTTCTCTAGATACTATGACTTCTAGCTACTAAATGCGTGCGAAAGCTTTCGTCATACATATCTATTGAATGAGTAACACAGTAGCACTATCTCAAGTCCATGAGATGCTGGTGCTGGTACTGTATGAATAGTATAGTATTAGCATTGTAGCAAACTGACCAATGAAAGTAGTGCTTATACTTTACAGAATATTAGTATATATAATATAGGTACTATATAGAATAGTTTTATTAGCTAGTATATAGCTAGAATGCCGGCGGTGAGCCTAATAATTAATATAAAGTATTCAAACTTCTACTCCAAGGAACATAGGCAAAATTCGCAAATACTTAAAGCTTCATTTAAAAATAGCTTTTTCTTAATTAAATTATTAATATTATGTATAAAAACTTTTACTACTAAGGAACACAGGCAACTTTTAATTTATATCTTTTTGGTCCCTCTCGGACCTTCCAACGAGTTTATTATCTTTCAGTTTTGTTTGTTTTTAGGAAACCCTGCATAGTGCGTCTTGATTCGAAGACAACTATTAAAGCTGTTATATTATAAAGGAGTAAACTATAAGTGGTAACCAAGCTGAGGAGGGTTTAAAACTGCAAGCGGAACTAATTTTTAGTAAAAAAAAAGTTTCAGTACTTCTAAAGGTTAAGACAAAAAAATTTTTTGCACGAATAAAATAACTTTAAAAGTCTGTAGAGGTTTGACTAGTAATGTGGGGCACTCCTAAAAAGAGATTTTTAACGTGACTGATTTAATCTTCCCGGTTCATACACAAAAATCTTATTATAAAATTACGACGTTCAGTAAAAGTGTAGATCCCATGTTGTAGTTCCATGAATTTGGCAGTTGTGGAATTTTAGGTTCCCTGCTGGTACTTTTTTTGTGAAATATAATTTTTCATTCAGACTCTTAGTGTTATCAAACGAGGCGGAGCATATTTGTCAATATTTTTACTAATATCTAACTTAGACAATAAATATTTGGTAAACTGTAATTTTATTTGGTATATAATGTACAACTTACCAGGAAACAATTAATGCTAGCTTTTATGTTGCGTAAAGTTACTGTTCCTCTCTTTTTCTCTTTACAGTATCTATTTTCAATATAAAACCAAAAATGTACTGTATTACCAATTGATGGCTTCTGTCCAGATGATCTCCGAATACTGGTTTATCAAAGTGAAGAAACTAAGGCCCTTATACGTACTTCACATACTACTAAGTAAACAAAGGCACAGAGCCCACACACGTTTTTCTTGCATATTTAATTAAATGCGACCGGAAAAAATGGTTTATTTCTTGTATATTTTTCTGTGAATAACTTTCTTTTGGTCAAATGACGCCTATAATGGCATGGCATCGCTCTTCGACTAGCTAAAGGGAATAGTATATAAACTCAAAAACAATAAACATTACCCACTATTAAAAGCTTCTATAACTCGTTATACGCATAAATTTTAATAATGCATATTTTAAAATACTTGAAAAAAGTTTAAGTATAAAATTAAATATTTGTGATAAAGGTTAACTGCTTTCAAAGCTTATTTTAAAAACCAGTATACTATTAACTTTATCGTTATACCTGCGCTTATCGGTAGGGGCGCACTTAAGGAGACCATAAAACCACATTATTATATTCATAACGTAAAGTTTAGAAAACTACTTAAACTTAGGATAGAGTATATTTATAGTCCTCTATTACTTAAAACTAACGGTACTGAGCTAGGTCACTATCATTCTTTGAATCTAAAGAGCAAGACTCAGCTTGAGACAAGAAGGTAAAAGTGAAGCTAAGAAAGATTAGGGAACTATGCGTTTTATTAAAGTATAATAAGTTTCTTTATTTACTAAGGTTATCCCGGACTAACTAAGAGTTGCGATGCTTTAAGATGTTAATAACTTAAAGCTTATCCTCGTTTAGCGTCAGTTACAAGACTTATGAGATTCTAAAAGATATATTTTTTAAATACAAATATAGAAACACTAATTCTTCTTAAGTTTATTTATCCGCAACCAGAGGAGGAGCATGATATGCTTCTCTGTGCTTTATATGTTTAAACTTTAAACTCATGGCTTCTGGTAAACAAATAAATACTATGCGTGCACTCACCAACTAGTTATAGGCCTGGGTTTTCAGTGTTTTCCTCTTTTTATAGTGAAAGAATTTAGTTGTTTATTAAGGTGCCTTAGTAATTAAGACAACCTCGTTTTAATTACTTTATGGAAACTTTTTTTTAAAATTAAGAACTACAAAAGTCGCGACCAATAAAAACCGAAACTTCTCCGTTAATGAAGTTTTTTACCCAAGAAGGTTTGCTTCACTTAGATAAATTCCTCTGAAAACTGTCGAAGTTAACTGCAACTCACCGAAAGCGTACGTTCTATAGTTGGGTGCGATTAATCCGTTACAGGGGTAAACATTCGACAAAAACGTCTGGTTCGTAGCATCAAAACCGAAAAATATTTTTTCCTCATAATAAAGCTTAATTTTTCTTTCGTTTAACCATGCAAAGCTCTAAATTGTATACAAAATAGTAACTGGTCTTGCAGCTTTTAACTATAAGAACAAAAAGGAAGACAGCATTAGAGGCATGCACTATGAATTTATTGACCACTTTTGACATATCTGGTCAAGTCTAATTTAGTTATCCAGCTCATGGTTTAAATTACCTAATAGGGTTATCTCATTCACATGTTACTTTTTTATACTTACGGTAGTAATTGCAAGAACACATGACTTAGGTAATTTACTAATTAATTGGTTTTTAAACACAAACCTTTTTATCTACCAATTTTTTTGCATGGGCTGGCGCTCTTAGAGTTTATATATAGTTTATGCTTTCTTTCTCCTAAGTCATTAGTTCTATTTATATATATAAATAAGAAACTGTTCTTCTATTTATTTTTTTACATGAAAATTATATGAAAGTTTTTACAAGCTGCAATATTTGTTGTCTTCAACTACTTCGTCCAGTTACTGGACACAATTTGTTTAATAAAGGCTCGGAATCCCTTTTTTACCAAAGAAGTTTAACTTCTTTAAGTGTTAAATACAACAACCTGTTGTTTTTGCCTTCGAGGCACCTAATTGATGTTAAAACTTTTACGCATAAAAATCAAGTTTTTACTGTTCCATCTCCCACACCAAAACAGCTTCAACAGCAAGCCATGAATTCTGCGCTTCCTATGATTGGTTTTGGCTTTATGGATAATTTAGTAATGATACAAGCAGGTACTTGAAAGCTTTCTCTTATTTATATATTGACTTTTTAATCCTCACTATGTTAGGGGACTTTATTGACACTACTATTGGTGTTATATTTGGCTTGTCCACTCTCTCCGCCGCCGCTCTGGGCCAAGTTGTTTCTGATGTCTCCGGAGTCTTTTTTGGGGGGACCATCGAAGCTCTTGGTATTTTTCCACTATTTTAATTAAGTATGTTTTCTTATCTTTTACCTTCGTTGTTTTTGAATTTATTTCTTGTCACTATAAAATAGCTGTTCGTCTGGGGTTAAACCCCTCAAATTTGTCTCATGAACAGTGTAACTTAAAGTCTGTGAAGATAGTGACCACTCTTGGGCGATCAGGTTAAGTTTATTTTCAAGCTGCACAATATAATCTAACACTTCTTTAAGTGGGAATCATTTTGGGCTGTCTTCTAGGAATGTGTAGTTTACTATTTATGGACACTAAAAAGTCTGACAGAATGAAGCATCAAAAAGAGCATAACGAACTTCTTAAGTCCTTAATAGAGAAAACCTCACTAACTTTAGGCGCCACCAACTACCTTTTATATTCTTACGATCAAACCACAAATAAACTTCATGTGCAAATTCCAGATAATATTTCTAGTGATCCACCGATGGACAGGTTACTCTACTATTTGGCTCCTGCTTCCATTTTAAATCTTTCGAACAATTTATTATAGCATCGCTGGGAGGACAGTAACCACTAAGAACATGTGTATTACGGACGCTGCAGTGGATGCACCTTGTGATCACTCATTTGAAAAACTAGTGGGACCCGGTACGCGCAGCGTGCTGTCGGCGCCTTTGATAAACGCGAGGGGGCAAGCGATTGGAGTATTACAACTGCTTAACAAAGTCGACAGTGACGGAAATATTATTGCATTTGAAGACCTTGATGGGGAAATCATCAAAGTTTTATGTTCGAGTATCGTGTTACTTACCGAAAATCATCCGAAAGAATCAATTTTAATATAGAAAGCTTGAACTTGTTTATATTTACCTTGTTGCTTCTTCGCTTATAATATGAATAATTTAATTATAGAAGTCTGGCTATTACTTTGTAATATACAATAAAAGAGTTTATATTAAAATTTAAGGCGCTTTATTTCTAAAAGGGAAGTATTGTAATGGTCTGCTGGTTTTTATTGAGTAGTCATGTATCTTTCTGTACTTGCTAAGGAGGGCCAAATTTGCCTACGAGATACCTTCAAATATTCAACTGAAATTCTTTATATAGGGACTTATGCTTTAAAACTTTGGAGAAAAAATTTTAGGTTTTTTCAAAGAAAAGGCTCTTTTACCAGTCATTTTTATTTTATATATTATGATACGTTCTAGTTATTAGTTTAGCACAACTGAATTTAAATTACTGAATTGTACTGCGTAGTAGCAAGAAGACCACAGTTAATCACTGACTCGTTTTTCGCTGCGTTGAGTTTTTTATAGGGTATAAATATTGCTAATAAAAAAAAAATTAGTTCGAAAAAGTACTCTTGGGATGAATCAGTGGCCACTGATGACAATGACGAAAACTCAGGGTTGAGCTAAGAAAGCAGTTAATCTTTTTTTTTTAAAAATTGCTATTAAAGCAGAGTGTGCGATTGCGGTTTTATTTAGCAAGGAACGAGGATAGCGGGGTAGCACCTACCTGACTTTACATAAACTCTAATTAAAGAACAGATTTAGCGGTAGAAGATTAATAAAATAAGAAGTCAACAACTAATATATTTCCTCAAAGCGAAGCTTTTAGAAGTCCTTTAAGAGTGTAATAAACAATATTTTGAACTAACCTAATTAGTAATTTCAATTGGAATGATATAAAAAGGTCACTTATAATTATATAATAAAAACTGTTACTGTAAGTGAAAAGGCAAAGAAAAACGATTTTGTTAAGACAATCTCACAGCTCCTCGAACATGCACAGATTTTTAGAACTTTTTTATTGAACCATAGAATCTTAAAATTGCACAGTAGCAAGACGGCTTACAAAACGATATACTTAACAACCTCGAATACACGAGCTTTACCGGGAGTTATTAATAAGGCAACCAAAAAGCCATGAAGGGGGATGCAAAAAAAAGAAACGAAAAGTAGGAAAAAATCCATTTAAATCTTTCTATATATACCTTACGAAAATAAACATAAAAAATAACGATGCAAAATTTTAAGTTTAACCCAGTAAACTATAATTAGTCGAGGAGAAATTAATTTGTAAATTTATTAGCAATCGCATATCTTTATAACTCGCAGTTTGCACATCCGAATTTCTAAGGAGAGAGCGCGGTACGAGGTAGCCTTTGTACTACTTATCGCAGTTCTAACCAACCTCCTATAATTAAATTCTTGAAACGGGCGACGTTAGAGGCGCTTTTCCCAAGTGTAAACTTCTACCAAATTTATTGGTGTTAAGTGATGTAGTTCATAGTTTTTTTCATGAATTTCTTGTTTCCTGTAAGGGTAAAAACTTGTCCCTATGTCATAACCTTCTATTGAAAGCATCTCTCCACGATAAGTTAGTAGTTTTTTTATCTGATCTAATTGGTTTTTCATTACTATAATATCCACAAGGTGCCTCTTTAAGTACGACTTATTCGACTTCAGAAGCGATTTTAAAGTTTGGTTTGATTTATATCGAAGCTTTCATATTATTAGATATTCAGTAAGTGAATTATTCATCCCGTGGTGGCTTTATTCTGCCAAGAGGCGTCTGTAAAGCAGTCAATACGATTTTTTATCTTTCTACTTCAAAAAAAAATGTGGTTCTGTTTAAGGTGAATTTATTTATTCTCAACGACTAAAAACTTTAGCTAAGATTATTTGGAGCTATTTACAGCCTTTAAACTATGAATATAACCGGTTTTATGGTCTTGAAAAGTCAAGAAAAAAGGTGTTAACGGCAAATGTATGTACTAAAAAGAGATTAACTCCTTGTTTTATTTTTATCTTTATACTATATATGTTTTGTAAATCCTTAAAAGTGGTAACAAAAATGTTCAATATGCAGAATAACTATAATAATAATAGGGTTTGTTAGCTTATTTTAAAGATTAAAACAAAGGGGATGATTCTAGTTTCTGAAGAATACACGTTGAAAGTTCTGTTAACTTAATAGCATACACGGGTTAAGTTTGGTACCGGTGTAGCATAATTTGGTATCTCTACTCTCTTTTTTAAACAATCCCTCGGACGACATAAAAACTTTGTCCATTCATTTTTATGCTTTTTTCCATAGTAGACAAAATTAGCATCTTACTGGCTGATATAAAGTGGGTTTTCGAATCAAAGTATTTATTGTCTTTTAAAGGTTTTTAGTACACTAACAACGTTTCTTTTGTGAACATTACCTACGGATTAGTCGTTACACGACTTTTAAAGATTAATTCTAATATTACTGTAGCCAGCCAAACTTTTCAGCTTTTTAATAAACATTATATTAAAAAAAAAATTTGTATATTAAAAAGTATATAATAAATATAAGAGTTGAATAAATATTGATATATACATTATATGTATAAATAATGATAATGTGGTGTATATAATAAATATATGACACAACAGATATAAAAAAATATTAAAGCAATGAATACTTTATCGGCCTGTTTTCGCTCTGTATTTCGCTTTCATATTTTATAATTAATTTAACTGAGGCAGATTAGTTCACTTTGGGATAAATATTTTCTGTGAAAATTTAGGGGGTTTGTTTGTGTTTTGCATTTTCTGTATTTGTGTTTATTTTTAAAGTATTTAACATTTAAAGTATCATATTATTTATTTTTGTGTATATGTTCTGTTTTCTTTTTGTGTTTTGAACTTTGTCTTAGGTGTTTTTGTATACTGTGCTATGGTGTTATAAATCCATATTATAGTAGTGTTGCTTAGTAAATTAATTTAAGTAGGATTTTGTTTTTGTCAAAAAATGATTTAGATAAAATACCAGCAAGATTATTCTTTGAGGTGACATGCTTGATTTTATAGTTATCCTATTTTAATTTCTGATTAGCGTGGTGGTACAATAGTTCCACATATCGAAATCTACTATTAAAAACGTCTCCTTTGCTCATTTTTTTTACTACTTCGTTATCAGAATAAAAAGCTGCTTTTATTTTTTCTCGGGCAACCGTTTATTAATTAGGTTTTCAATTCTTTGTGTATATATCACTTACTTGCTTACTACCATGTATTTAAGTTCGCAGGATGACTCTCATATCTTATTCTGTCTACAGTCGTCCTCCACTACATAGAATTTCCATTTAATAGTATTCTGTGTTTCATGGTGAATGAGAAAGTTGTAATTACCTGTACATAAGGCATCGGTTTAATATATATTTAGTATATTCTTCTCTTTGTTTTCGTTACGCTTAGTGGTTAGGTTGGCACTTATTGTTTCATAGAAATATCCACTCGTTTTCCATCATAGGATGCGTTCCATTACTGTTATGCATAAATCATTCAAATAATATGGTAGCATATGCAATATCGGGTCGTTTACAATTCGTAATGCCCTAAGAGAGCCGATTAATGTATAGTATTCAGCATTAGTTTTATAGTCCCCCTCAAAGAGTTGTAATTTGATTCGTGAAGGAAGTGGAAGTTTATGTCTCAGTATTATTTATTTTAATTGTTCTAGAAATCGTTTAAGTTAATTTTTTATTTCACCAATATCTCATTCTCTGATTGTAGTGTGTGATATACCCAATATAGTTACTAGGCACAGTCGTCTATGAGGTTTGCATTCTTTCTGCAGGTTTTGTAAGAAAGTTTGGTGTCCTCCTAGTGTTATGCAGTCATCGATGTACATTTTAAGATCTTTTCGAAGTTTTTAAAGTAAAAATGAATCCTACAATCTTGCTTTGTAAGTACATCCATATTTTTGTAACCTTAAGTTATAACGTCGTAAAACGGTCGATAGGAATAGTTAAGACCATATAAGGCAACTTAGTTGTAATGTGCATTTTTAAAATTTTGAGCAATGTGCAGAAAATAGGGAGCTCTATTGGGACTAGTAAGCACTTTTTCAATGCTTCTAAGATTAGACCTTAATCACTTATTAAATGTATTTTAAAAAAAAAAACATATAAATTAAATACACGATTGTGCTAAGCTTAGTTTGCGTAAAATTTAAAAATTTGGAAAGCAAACATCTTAAAAGAAAAGTGAATATTAATAATGCGCAGTGGACCTTTTAAAAAGGAGTTGCATTTAATCTTTACTATGAGCTTCTTAGCGGAATTAAAATACTCTATTTTTGCTAATGTGTGTTGCTTTGTAAAGTAGTCTCTTTACTCATCTACACTAATGAGTAATTAGAAGTTAAAAAAAATTAAAAAATTAATATATTTTTATAGTTACCCTATTTAAAAAAGTTGTCTTAAATTATAGAACGATGACTAAAAGTCTATTTTAAAGTGTTATATTTGACAAATTGTCTAATGAATTATGTTATTTGATATATCGTAAGAGGGGTGTGTTTTAAGTTTTAGCTTTATAAGGGTTAGGGTTAGGGTTAGGGTTAGGGTTAGGTTAGGGTTAGGTTAGGGTTTTAGGGTTAAGGGTTAGGGTTAGGTTAGGTTAAGGGTTAGGGTTAGGTTAGGGTTAGGGTTAGGTTAGGGTTTAGGGTTAGGTTTAGGGTTAAGGTTAGGGTTAGGGTTAGGGTTAGGGTTAGGTTAGGTTAGGGTTAGGTTAGGGTTAGGGTTAGGGTTAGGGTTAGGTTAGGTTAGGGTTAGGGTTAGGGTTAGGGTTAGGGTTAGGGTTAGGGTTAGGGTTAGGGTTAAGGTTAGGGTTAAGGGTTAGGTTAGGTTAGGGTTAGGGTTAGGTTAGGTTAGGGTTAGGGTTAGGGTTATTATTAAGGGTTAAGGTTAGGGTTAGGGTTAGGGTTAGGGTTAGGGTTAGGTTAGGGTTAGGGTTAGGGTTAGGTTAGGGTTAGGGTTAGGTTAGGGTTAGGGTTAGGGTTAGGGTTAGGGTTAAGGTTAGGGTTA